TCAGCACAATTAAAACGTATGTTGCAGCCATCTCTTCCTGTCACGAAGGCTTCGGTGACAGAACAGTTTTTAATCACCCATTGAAGAAACATTTTCTGAAAGGTGTACGGAGGCACAGACCAGTGTCATGCCCACTAGCTCCACAGTGGGACTTAACGATGGTTCTGCGAGCCCTGATCAAAGCTCCTTTTGAGTCCCTGGATCAGGTTTCAATTAAATTCCTGTCACTCAAAACAGCCCTGCTGTTGGCTTTGACATCTGCAAAGAGAGCGAGTGATTTATCTGCGTTCTCCGCTGCCTCGTCGTGCCTCAGAGTTCAAGCTGATGGCAGCTCAGCTGTGCTGAGACCTAACCCAGCTTTTATGCCTAAAAACATCACAAGTTCATTTAAATTGAGAACGATAACGTTAGAGGGGTTTTTCCCCTCCCCCTCACAAATCAGAAGAAGAAGCATCTTTTCATCTCCTCTGCCCTGTGCGTGCGCTGGCATGTTACATAACACGCACAGCCACACTGCGCCAGACTCGACGTCTGTTTGTACATTATAGAGACGCATCTGCAGGTCGCCCGTTATCCACCCAGCGTCTGTCACACTGATTGTGTGAGGCCATTTCTGAAGCTTACAGAGCATCAGGTTTAGAGCCTCCTGAGAACCTCAGAGCGCATTCGACCAGAGGAATCGCATCTTCGACAGCTTTGCATAATAGTATGACAGTGCAGGATATTTGCACGGCGGCTGCATGGTCGTCACCTTGCTCATTTATCCGCTTTTATTTGCGTGATGTTTCGACTGGTTCCATGGCACATTCTGTCCTTTGTGCCGTAACAGAATAAATCTTAATGTTTTCATGGAATTTCTGTTTAAACTCACATCTGACTGCATGTAATTACAGTGTGAGATATTTATTATCAGTCACAAGTTCTATGACTGCTGTTTTTGTTCTACTGTTACCAATCAGTTCATTTGATTACTAATCAGTTCATTTTTATTAATCTACTCATATTGAAGAGCTGTTGATCTGCTCTATTCACTGCTACACGGTTACAATCGTAACCCCCTGCTCTTTCCCATTCTCGGCAGCAGGACTGCTTTCAGCCTTCCTCCTTTTTTCCACCGCCGGAAACCCTTTTGTCTCCGGGGCGCCCCTGTGCATGGAACGCGTAATTACGCACATAGAAGGCTGAGTGATGAAATGTTTTTGGTGCAAGCAGGTGCTTCATTGTGTGTCTGACCGGACCCAGTGAGGCATAGACTACATCCTGCTTTGCCTTTAACCCACTAGCAAGGGCCTTAAAGGGCGAAGCCTATATGAAATAGAACTTTGGTTACGTACTGTAACCCCAGATTCTATGAGTATAGGCGTAGCCCTTTAAGCGCTGGGCCTCACTGGTTCCTAAATGGCTGAAGAAAAAGCTATTTGGGAGCCAATTACCCGCCGTCAACATCATTTATACGGACCGGGTGAGGCCCACACAACAGGTGGGCATGGACTAAAGTTTTCAGTGCTACGCTTCGCGTGACGGGATAAAACCCACTAGCGAGGGCCTTAAAGGCTACGCCTATACTCATGGAATCTGGGGTTACAGTACGTAACCAACGTTTTGCTTCCTGAAGTGACTGACCAAAAAAAAAACCTTTTTCACAATATTCTATTTTTTTAGATATGCATGTTTGCATTAAAATGATACAAAACAAATACATTTGTCTGTGCAACGATAAGTTACAACATAATTATAATATTTAGCTGAAAATATGAGTCGGGATGAGAAAATGTCGACCTTTTATTTTTAATGTGTGGACTGAGACCTTATGTTTGTCCAGATTTAGTGGTTTTTGGTTGGAACTCGTGAGCTATCAGCTGGGCAGCTTTCAGGCCAGTGTGATGTTCCTCTTGTCATGCTCACTTCCTTCTGATTGTTTTATCATCTGTGGTTGATGCAATTAAAATGTCTGAACAGTGGAGCCTTTTAACATGTTCTCTGAGTGGAAGTGATGAGTGTTTAAAGATAGTGAGCATTCTGTTGTAAATGGCTCAATATTTATCAAATATTAGAGCAATTTATGTGCTGTGGCAGCCGTGAGCTCCAGAAGTTGTAAACTCACAGCAGTGACTTTGTGAACAGCTTGTAGTTGTGGTTTCTTGGATGCAATTGTCCATTTCTTCACTTGAACATCAAAAAAGGTTCTAATCCAGATTCTCCTCATGCTCAATTTTGAGAAAGTACCGTATTTTCTGGCATATAAGTCACAGTTTTTTTTTTTTCATAGATTTGTCAGTCCTGCGACTTATGTACTTTTTTTAGGGATGCACGTTATTGGATTTTTGGCCGATATCCGATACATTAAAACTTAGTTGGCCGATACCAGTTGCCCTAGACCTACTTACAGAGATTACGTAGCTTTATCTGGTGTGGAATTAAAATACTACATTATTCTGCATGGTCTTTGTCAGTTTGACCTGCTACCAAATGTAGATGCCAAAAAGGGGCTGATTTTTTTTTTTTTCAGTTACCCTTTATTTATCTAGGTAGTCTCATTTTCAAGAGAGACCTGTTTAGGGAGCAGATGGGGGTTAAGGGCCTTGCTCTTGGGCCCAGAGTGGGGCGAATGAGGGTGAGGGCAGGTGTGGGTGCTTCACCTACCCAACCCACATTTTTGATGTTGTCAGTACCGGGGCTTGAACTGGCGATCTTCCGATCACAGGTCCACCTTCTCTAACCTCTGCGCCACCACTCCCCCCCCAAAAATGAAAATGATGTAACACCAGCTTGGATTATGTCCATCCATCCATTTTCTTCCACTTATCCGGGGTCGGGTTGCAGGGGTAGCAGCCTAAGTAGGGAGGCCCAGACTTCCCTCTTCTCAGCCACTTGGGCCAGCTCCTCTGGGGGAATCCCGAGGCGTTCCCAGGCCAGCCGAGAAACGTAGTCCCTCCAGCGTGTCTTGGGTCTTCCTCTGGGTCTCCTCCTGGTGGGACGTGTCCGGAACACCTCACCAGGGAGGTGTCCAGGAGGCATCCTAACAAGATGCCCGAGCCACCTCAACTGGCTCCTCTCAACGTGCAGAAGCAGCGGCTCAACTCTGAGTCTCTCCCGGATGATCGAGCTTCTCACCCTATCTCTAAGGGAGAGCCCAGAAACCCTGTAGAGAAAACTCATTTCAGCCTCTTGTATCCGAGATCTCGTTCTTTCGGTCACAACCCAAAGCTCATGACCATAGATGAGGGTAGGAACGTAAATTGATTGGTAAATTGAGAGCTTTTCCTTTTGACTCAGCTCTCTCTTCACCACAACAGACCTGTACAGCACCTGCTTCACTGCAGACGCTGCACCTATCCGCCTATCGAGCTCACGCTCCATTTTTCCCTCATTCGTGAACAAGACCCCAAGATACTTGAACTCCTCCACTTGGGGCAGGACCTCCTCCCTGACCCGGAGAAGGCACTCTACCCTTTTCTGGCTCAAGACCATGGCCTCGGATTTGGAGGAACTGATCTTCATCCTGGCCGTGTCGCACTCGGCTGCGAACCGCTCCAGCGAAAGCTGTAGATCACGATCTGATGAAGCCAATAAGACCACATCATCTGCAAAAAGCAAAGACGCAATCCTAAGGCCACCAAAACTGATCCCCTCAACACCTTGGCTGCGCCTAGAAATTCTGTCCATAAAAGTTATGAACAGAATCGGTGACAAAGGGCAACCTTGGCGGAGTCCAACTCTCATCGGGAACAAGCCCGACTTACTGCTGGCAATGCAGACCAGGCTCTGACACCGGTCATACAGGGACCTAACAGCCCGTATCAAAGGGCCCGGTACCCCATACTCCCAGATTACCCCCACAGTGGTACCCGAGGGACTTGGATTATGTTTAATGTCAATTTTATTCCTGACATTTACTCCCTCTAACACAATGACAACACTCAAAACAGTTCAAATTTGTAAATTTTCACAAATCTAAACCCAAAGGTGCACGTGACGTCATAACGTTGTGTTGGCGCTGCAGGCATCCTTGTCACTGGGTTGTCCTACAAAAACAGCGCCTTTTACATATAAATATTTACATAAGCCTTTTATATTGGGGAGTTATTTTAATGGAATGGCCGATGTCTGACATTTAACTTTATCGCTAATATCGGCCGATACCGATACCATGCCGATAATATGGTGCACCACAATTTTTTTTCCCCATATTCATAACACAATTTTAGATTGACGCTTTAAATTTGGAATAACTGCAACAATGAGTCCTCCTGTGCTCACTCGCTTCTCTCAGCTGGTGCAGGCGAAGGAACGCTGGAGAGCCAGCGGCTCTGGCCTCGATGGACAGATGGCGCCTCGATGGACAGATGGCGCCACCCAGGTGAAATGAAGATATTTTGACCATTACATAAATGCATAATAAACACAATGGGTCAGCGGTGACGCCAAAGCAACTTGGTTTTTTTTTTCCTTTTCATGCTTTTTTTTGACTGATGCAACTTACACTCTGGAGCGACTTATACGCCAAAAAATATGGTACACACTTTGCTGGAACTTTCCTGAACAGCAGCTGTGTAAGGACTATTTATCAGCTGCTAATGTTTTTAATAGAGGCAGATTTCCAAACAGACGCTTTTGCAATGTTTTAATTCCTCAAAACATTATGCAATCAAACACTCTGCACACTCGCAGAAAAACACTCACACATTCAAAGTGCAGACATATTCGACAATGACATTTGAACAGCACTGAAAATAGGCAACATGAGGAGCAAAGGTGCTAAATATTGCACATTCTTATCAGTTTGGGAAACTTAACTCGTCAGACCATTCAGCTTAGCTGGGAGGAGCCCAGATAGGAATCGCACATCTCTCCTGCGGCTCCCATTACCAGTACTTATCATGGAGCTGATGTTAATTTCCTGCCCTGACTGAGTGAAGGTAGATGCAACTCTGCAGGAAGAAACTAAAAATGAGGTAACAGTTGATTAAGGCCAGCCGGCAAACGACACGTGAAGCGACTGCAGCAGATGTTCCTGAAAGTGGCCAAACTCATCTCTTATTGAGAAAATGGTTTTAAATAGAGAGGTTTGACAAAGCACAGTGAGAGCTTGGCCTAAATCGGAAGAAACACAACGTGACGTTTACCTCGCTGACCTTAAAATACATTTTTTAAATGGTCTTTTAAACTTTGGCTACACCAGAGTTTATCAGATAAGATTGTACCATCACAAAAACACAAACGTAAAGAACCAGGAGAGCTAAATAAAGGGGAGGTATCCGAATGATTCTTATTTCTAAGTTATTGCTTGAAAGCCACTTGGATATTTGTTGAAAAAGCCAAAAATTTCTCTTCAAGTTAGCATTTAATTTCAAAACAGCAACTAAACAAAATTTAAAATTAAGGGTCCTGAGTGGCTGTGCAGCGTGCCTTTTTTGTCGTTTGTTTCAGGAGCAGTCGGTAAACGTGGTCACCATGTTCCCCCGACGCTGAGTCACTGTCCTGCAGTGCTGCTTGGCCGAGCCCTGAAACCTGCTCTCAGTCCTGGAAGCATGCGAGTTAAAGGAGAACATCTTCTCCAAGTCCTCGAACATGTTGTCAAAGAGTCCCTCGCCGAAGCCCCCCTGCTGAAAGCCTCTCCGGTGGCGGTTCATGGCGTCCCGGTGAGCCTGGAAGTGGTTGTCGAAGTGTCTCTTTTTGTCCGCCTGACTCTGGGAGTGGAAGTGATGGTGCTGACCGAACGAGTCCGTGTCTTTGAAGATGTCGTCGAAGTTGAAGGACTGGAAGTGCTGCCTGAAGTCGTAGTCGCTCCCCCCTCCTCTGTAGCCCCCACTTGACGATGCACCGTGACCAAACTGGTCATACTCTCGTCTCCTCTTATCGTCAGACAACGTCTCGTACGCTGGAAGAAACAAATAGTCTGAAAATCTAAACTAATCAAGTAAACTAAAGAGCTACTTCACTTATTTGGGGATACCTATTCATTTCAATGGTCTTGTAACGTTTCTTCCACTGGTTAAGGCACTTCCTGGACATGATGTTGGACTTATGAGTCACACTTACCCTCTGCTATTTCTCTGAACTTAGCCTCGGCGTTTGGGTCCTTGTTTCTGTCTGGGTGGAACTTCAGAGCCAGTTTATGGAAAGCCTTTTTAATCTGGCGCTCCGTGGCGTCTCTGGAGACCCCCAGGATGTCATAGTAGTCCCTCCTGGCTAAAATGAACTCGGAGATGAGCAGAATATGAACTGCGAGCAGGAGCACCGCCTGTGTTGTGCCCATAGCTTTGACGCCGTCTTGGCTGTAAAGATATAGGAGCAAGTTAAGTCTCTTGAATAAATCATCACATAAAATAAGTTACTACGACACTTGGATGGTATAACGCGCGAAGTTACGTAAAAAAAAATATGGCGTAAAGAAAGTAATGTCTCCGTCTTTTTCTGGAATGAACTAGAAACTTCAAATAACTAAGCTAAAACGCGTAACATAAAGCGCATTTCTAGGTTCGGATAAACTACTCGTGAGACAATAATGTAGGATGACAGATTAAAAATTACCTGTAGATCAGCCACGGACAGCCTTGGGAATCCTAACAAACCGCCAACAGCTCCAGCTGATGCAAAGCGAAAGCTAGCAGTTGTTGACGGGTAGATTCCCGAGCCGAAACACCACGACTCGCATTGCTATTGGTCCGTTTTCTGACGTAATGACTCAGAGGGCTGTGATTGGTCAAAGCTTCGCACGTGGAGGCTTGAGGATGAACGTCGCCAAAGAGTAAGAAACGAAGCAAGAGAAGAACCTGCACATATTTCGTTTGCAACTTTAGTTTTTGATTTAAAGTGGATAGTTAATGCACATATTTTTGTGGAAAAAAGACTAAAATATAAATATTTGGATTTTAATAAATAGTATTAACACAGCTATTAATTAGTAAAAAAAATAATAATTCAAGTTTCCTTCACATAGTTTTCCTGCCTTCTATTTGGCTAACTTTCTTGAAACAAGGAAATGCAAATTTGGGCTTTTTTTTTTTTTATTATTATTTTTTGTGCTGTTTTATCTCCTTGTTTTATTTTAGGAGTCTATGTATAAAAACCACAAATACAGATCATGTTTATGTCTGGTCAATAAAAAACGTCACTTCCGTTGAACGAGCTACTCTCCGGAAGTCGTCATTCGCAAGCTTTTGTTGTGCTTTTAAACGTTTTGTATTTTGTCTCCGCATTTTTTTAAATTATTATCTTTTTTGTACCGTCCTTGTTTTAAGCGCCTATATGTATAAACCATAAATACATATCTATTTTGAAATGTGTTTATCTGTTAAATAAATAAAAAAAATCGTCACTTCCGTTTAACGAGCGACTCTCCGGAAGTCTTCATTCGCAAGCTTTTGTTGTGCTTTTAAACGTTTTATATTTTGTCTCATGCATTCATGCATTTTTATTGCGGATATGCCTCGTTACTGTGCTGTAAAGATTTGCTCAAACCGTGGAGGGACAGCTTCAAGAAAAAACAACAAGAGAATTAGCTTCTACCCGTATGTTTATTCTTTTTCACATCATTGACTGTAAACTGTTCAAAATTGACTGACAGTGTGCCTTATTGTGTTTTTACTGAAATTATAGTAACAATAAGATGCTGACAGTGGCCTAATAGATTTGAGTACAGAGTATGTTTAATGGTGGAGTGAAACATTAAATAATAATGCAAATGTAGTCTGTTTCTTATATGAAATGTCCTTTTATTTTCGCCTTAAGGTTTCCCTTACACGACAAGTCCAGGCTTCAGAAGTGGGTGGACAACATGAAGCGGCAAGACTGGATTCCCAGTCGACATCAATATCTGTGCAGTGAACATTTTACAGAAGACTGTTTTGACATTCGATGGGGAATCCGTTACCTAAAAAACACAGCCATTCCCACAGTTTTTCCTCTAATTAATGATGTAATGCATCTCCTATCTCATCTTGATACTTTTTAAGCAGTTGCTACCAGAAATTATCAATTTTGTCCTCTCTTTTTGCATTTTCTCTGAAAATATATTTATACCAGTGTTGATTATCTATATCTAAAATGTTCTTTTGTCTCAGGATGGAGAGAAAAAGGTGACCAACAGTAAAAGAAGCCCCAAGTCTAAACCCTGCACTTCGGAGACTGACGCTGAGCTCAGACAATCTGAGTCGCCTTCCAGTAAGAGACCTCACATTTTGAGGAAGACATGCAAACAGATTGAAGTAAATATAGATAAAAACGTTGTTTCAGAACAATTAGAACAGACGTTTGAACCTCCTGTGGTGCCGACATCTGGAAAACCGTTTCAGTCAAGTCCTCTACAGACACCAACCACCATTTGTGACGTAACGGGTGACGGTGGAAGGCCAACAGCATCTTCACATCCAGAAGAGCAGGCGGGCTCGATTGTTGCTGTGTTGTGTTACAAAACTCTGGGGCCTCTTTCCAGCAGAGAGGCAAACGTGGATCCAGTTCTCCAAGCAGCGCTGGGACAGACTTTTCACTCAGTCCCTTTGGAAAAGGTCGAGGAGAAATCTGCACGCTGCTTTGTGGAAGAGACAGAACATGGAGAGGAGGTGCATGTTTCATTTTACGAGCACTCTTACTCCAGACCTGACCTTGACGAAGATGAGTTGTGGAACAGGATCTTGGGTTTGCACGCAAAAACACTGGAGCTGGATCGCAGGGAGAAGAACACTCTGGCTAAAATCTGCGCTCTGGAAAATGAGGTCGCCCTCCTTAAAATGGATGAGGCCATTTTTAAAGAGAAGCAGAAATTTTTAGAAGATTATATATCGTCTGTTCTGGTTTCATGGGGTTATTTAAATGCATGAAATATGTGATGCATGTCTTTTAACTGCTACTTTATGTAAAGAAAAGCTGCACAAACTCTTTGAGTTTCCAAAATTCAACAATTCCTCCTTCTACCGAAGCATGTCAGATTATGTCCACCAGGTGGCACTGTTCCCCTTTTCAGGGCTTTAGTAGAATTTTCAAGAATCAATAAATTCAACTTGCAGATCCTGTGGTTTCATCCTGAAACATAAAAAACATTCAGAATTAAAAGTCTAACATGCCTTGAAGGAATATAAGTGTTTCATGCCAGAGTTTCTGACCATCTTATTTTGACAAGAGATGGAGCTTTAGCGGTTTAAGTCAAAAAGTCTTTAGAGGGATGGTATGCACAATCTTGTGATAGTGTGAGGTCTATTAGCACTCGGTTAATGTTTAGAAAATGACTCACCTGCTCCCACATCAAAATTTAGCTCAGTATCTCTGAAACTGACTGAGTTTGAGACATTTTGACGCTGATTAGCTGTGGTGACCGTCTTAAATGGGATTGACTCCGAAAGTTAATCTGTTGTAGACAGTCATCGGTTGATTTATTTTTGGACAGACTCGTTTAATCATGTCCTGTGGTTCATGAAATATTTTGCTAACAGACAAACTAGCACAGAGGTGGAGAAAAACATTAATGCCTTTGGCAGCAGTAACTCAAAACCGTTACATATTGAACAGCTGCAAAAAACGTGTCTTTTAAGTTAATAGCAAGTTAAAGTGGGTTTAAGAAATAAGATAAAGCCTATAAATACTGTAAAAACCTAAAACAACTTTCTGCACTCAGTTAAAATATTTTGTTTATTTTATTTGTGAAAAAGCACCTTAAATGTGCTGCATAACTAATTAGTGCTTTTGTTTTTACTTGAAGTATTTCTTATTTTAAAACATTTCCTTCTAGTTATTACCTCTGTTGTATATTATCAACATGTAAAAATAATCATCAGGTTTCTTTAATATACATTGTTTACAATGTTCTTCTTCACTATATTCATTATTTTGTTCTTCTCTAACTCTTGGTGGTACTTATTTTAATAGAACGCAACTTGGGGTAAAGGAATTGCAATGGCATTTTTTGACCAAAATTGCCCACATATATATATATATATATATATATATATATATATATGCTTTTGCATGTGTTCCCATCTTTAATTATTCATTTCATTTGGCACAGCTTTTCCAGCATTTACAGTAATTTGTTTTAAGTGGCGCAGCTTTTCAATACATTACGGTAAAACATTTTCAAAGCGCAGGTTTCTCTTTATTTATGCTCATTCATTTGAGGCACTGCAACTTTTCATACAACTCCAGTACATAGTTGGTTTTAGCTTCTGCATTTTTTTTTTTTCCAGCATTTACATTAAATCATTTAGGTAGCATAGTTTTTCCTGAATTTAAGTTGTTTGTTTTTTTTAAGCTGTGCAGCTTTTTTTTAGCATGTATGGAAATGTCCATGCCTTGCTTGCACTTTTGTCTGCTTCACTGCAGCCAACTAAAAAGAACCAGGCAAGTAAAGAATATTCTGGATCAGAAAGATTTCTTTCGACAGATCTGGTTGAATTTTAACTGAAGACGTCTTTGAATGTTTGAACCCCAGTCTGAGACCCAGGCCTATAAATACTTATCTTCGCCACCCTTTCATCCCTGCGAACAACAATCCACTGCTTAACGCTGAAGATTTCAATAATTGAACCATGACGAGGCTAAGAAGATAAAGCATTTTCAGGCGGCTGCTCTCTCTCTTTGCATCTCGATTAGGTGACGGCGCTCAGGTCAAACTGAGGTCTTGGAAGATTCTGGGAAAATTTTTAGAGAAAGTAATCATCGTCAACGGGCTATACTTTACTAAAGTAAAATTTAGCACAAGGAAATGCTAAAGCAGTGTTTATTTATATACAATATTTAAAACAAATACTCAAAATCAAAATGAGATTGAAATTGAATCATATTCAACCCTGTTAAACCCAAATGTTTGTTTATTTTTCAATAATTTTTAACTGGCATACAACATCCATGGTGAGGCGCTACAGCACCATCTGCACCCGTACTTCCCACAGCCTTGCAAGTTCACGTTGATAGTGAGCATACACTCAAAAAAGGTTATGACATTATGAACTTATGAGTGGTAAAATAAGTAAAAGGTTTTTGACAGTTCTTTTGAAATAGCAAAGTACTTCGATAATTACTACCTAGGAAAAGTAATTATCACAGATGAATGTCTCGTGTGAGTGGTAAAGTGTCGCATGAAATTATTAAACGTCAAATAATGAAGGATAAAAACTGACACTTTGTATTTACGCATAGACAAACCTCATGGAGGAGACAACATGGATGGAAGGTAGGCCTGTCACGATAACAAATTTTGCTGGGGATTAATTGTCTCAGAAATTATGGCGATAAACGATAATATTGTTTGAAATGTGACAATATTAAGTAATTATTGTCAAATTTAAGAAGAAATGTTTAATTTATTTTGCATGTAGTACCTTTTTAGACCACCAAATGGCAGTATAAGACTGATTGAACCGAAGGATGGATAGTGAGGGAGCGAGAAGCGTGTCTCTTTAAGAAAAATGGCAGGGAGGCCCCTTGACGTGACATGGGCTGTCTCTCTTTGGTTCTCAAAATGGCGGACGCTTGGTGTGGTTTGAGCTCTTTAGCATAGCATTTTTCACACAAAGCATTTAATTAAAAAATCACTAAACAAGTTCTCAACTTCTTTTTGCAGAGAAAAGCTTTAGACGAAGGCACGGGTTTCAACCGTGAATTTTGGAGCTTTGACATAGCTGAGTTTTTTTTTCCCCCCGAGGTCGGCCTGTTGGCTTAACTCATAGCTTAGCTTCTCAGCTTAGCTGCTTTTAACGATCCAAAGATGCGCTTTTCGACGGTTAAAATGGATTTTAAAGATAAAGGGAGGGGTCAGTGAAGAGCACCGGAGTTGAGCCTTTTGTCATCCAGTGTCTTCAGTAGAAAGAGAGAGACACAAAGAAACGATCAAGCCAATAAATGAAAATGAGGTCAATAATTTTCATTTTTCATGCAATTAATTGATTTATTGTTTATCGTGACAGGCCTAATGGAAGGCTTCGGAAGATCTCATCTTACTTTGTTTGTCATATTTTTTATTTGTGTTTTAATGAATGTGTTTATCCAGTTTTGTGGAAAATTTTAAAAGTTGTTCCGTTGTCTAAAAATCCTAAAGAACCATTGACGGGTCAAAGTAGCATGCCGTTAAACATCTTACCTGTCTTGAGTAAGTTGTTGGAAGGAGTGGTGCTTTTTATGTATATTGGATTCACTCAGCATTACGATAAAGAAGATTACATGTCCAGCTCTTACTGAAGACAGATTGATAGAAAATGTTTGGTAGGTGTTACATTTCTTGATTTCAGTGCAGCCTTTGATGCCGTTGATCACAAGTTTTCACTTGTGAAGTTTTCACTTGTGAAGTTTTCACTTGTGAAGCTATCAGCTTACACTTAAAAAAAAATCACTGACCTAATGAGTAATTACTTCAATAACAGGAAACTGTGTGTTATGTTCAACAGTCTCTGTTCAAATGTTGTGACCGTTCCATGTGGAATTCCACAAGGCAGCTGCCTCGGTCCTCTTCTTTTGTAAATGACATCCATATATACTGTACTGAGTAAGGCATGAATACCTGTATATGCAGACGATACAACTATATATGCATCTTCTGATAGTTTGGATCAGGTGCTACAAAAAGAACTAGTGTCTGTTTCTGAGATAGAGAACAGGTTGAAACAAAGTGTTGGACTCTAAACATTCTGTTGGACCAACTCAGATGTTGCATATTTCTTGCTGCTGGGAGTTATAATAGATCAAATAATATCACGGTCCACACATACATAAGATTATGACTCAAATGAGTAGAAATGTCTGAATAATTTGGTGCAGTGGGCATTTTGTCTCCTGAAATAAGAACATTAGTCCTGTGTCATCTTACTGCCCAGCTGTTTTTTTCGTGTTTAAAAAAAATAAAAATCTGGATAAACTGCAGAAAGTTCAAAATAAAGCTTCAAGATTAACTCTTGGCTGTCGTTTTAGAGCTAATGTGAACTTCATGCATCATAGCCTGTCATGGATGAAGGTCAGTGACAGGCTAGTCTGTAGCCTTCTTTTCTTTTTTCAGAAAATGTAGATTTTCACATCAACCTTTAGGCCTTTTCTCACACTTACCTCCAACAGACAAATGGTTTTAAAATAGACCGGCCTTTGTTGTCACTTTTACACCTTTGAGCTGTAATGATCGTTTAATGTGTGTATTTGAAAGACAAACCCTTAAATAAAAAACAGACTCAATCTCTACTGTGGAAAGTGTTTTTAACTAAAAGCTAGTATTCCATGAAGTCATCTTTAATCAGCTGACTCCAAAAGTTGACCTACAGTAATTCAGACACAGGCAGCAACATGGACGCCTGCCTTTGTGACGAACACTAAATCATTTCATGCAACTATCTTTAGTACTGCAGCAGCTGTTTCTGAAAGATTCTTAGTGTGCTTTTCTTACACGTGAACACCTCGGGAGGCTCTCCGTTGTGTTTGTTCTTGTTTTAAACCTCTCTAAGAACACGAACACGGCATGATTTATCTCCCACCTCTTCCCCGCTCAGACCCAGAGTTGGCTTCATGAGACCCATAATCTGATTTGAAGCAGCTTTCCAGAATTAAAGAAGAACGCCACAGGCTCTCTGGTTTCTCCGGTAACGGTTTTATCTTTTACTTGAGATCAAAATAAGCATAAAGTAATATGTAAATCTTAAAACATGTGTTCCTAATGTACCGTAATCTTCACCATGCAAGGATTGAATTTGCTCTGAAGTGGGTGTGGATTTGTGACACTGGCATAATGGATGTTTTATGTTCACGAGAGCAAATGTCTTTAATTGGACACGATCCACTCCTCTTCATCTCAGGTGCTTGTGTGCACGTTTACTGTACATAGAAGAGGCTTTGTGACTGCAGGGGTTGATGCATGTATCAGATTAACAATTACACAGCAGCAGCAAAGATGAAAAGAACTGACGTTTTGAATTATTACTAATCTGAAGGTGTAATTTTACTGGTCTTTGTGATGGGAGAGCAAATTACCATCAGTGGCCTTTAGGCGACCAGTGTTCTGGTACTTTACATCAAGTACTTGTGGCATTTTCTTTACAGAAGGTCAAAAATGTTAATTAAAACAATACTTCTGCAGTTTACAACGTTACTGAGAAGTGTCCGGTGTTTGATGGATTAAGACAACAAAAACCGTTCAGTTTGATGCTCCGTACACATTTACATTAGAATGTTGCCCAAAGCTTTGCAACAAGTGATTTTTATTCAAACATTTCACTTTTTGTTGCCTTTAATGAAAGTTTTCACTGGTTCCTGGAAAACTATTTTGTAAACCTTTACAATTACTTTATATCTGCGTCACTTATTCCTGCACAAATAATTTTACACTCCTGTCAGTCGTTCTCCGGGCGGCGCCTAAAGCGCAGCTGGTCTTCTTGTTCTTACAAAATGTAAAGATCTACGTGAACTTTCACTATAAAACTGACGGCAACGTAAAAGTTTTTAAATCCTTATTTACGTAAAATGCTATGAAATATTAGAGATTCGAGCTGGTTTAATATGGAACAATCCACACTGGTTTGGCTATGCTCCAACTAGCAGTTAGCTCATCATTCTTCTTCTTCTTCTTTCAGCGTTTCCCTCTTCAGGGTCTCCACAGTGAGTCGTCGTCCTCCATCTCACGCTGTCCTCACTCCTCCTACCTCCATGTCCTCTCTATAACTACATCCACATTTCTCCTCTTTGTCTTTTTCCTGGCAGCTGCATTTCTAACATCCTTCTACCAACATACCCACTGTGAACATGTCCAAACCACTGTCCCTCCTCTGGACATGTCCAAACCATCTCAGTCTGGTCTCTCTAACTTTATCTCCCAGTTGTTCCACCTGTGCTGTACCTCTGATGATCTCAGTCCTAATCTTATCCATCCTTGTCCCTCCTAAGGAGAACTTCACCATCCTCATTTCTGCTACTTCCAGTCTGTCTCCTGTCTTTTTGTCAGTACCACTGTCTCCAGACCATACAACATAGGTCTCACCACTGTCTTATACATTTTTCCTTTGACCTTTGTTGCCTCTCCTTTGTCCCAAATCACTCCTGAAACTTTTCTCCATCCATTTTACCACAGTCCTGTTGTGCTCAAACATGTCCTGTACCAGTCTAACATAGACTTTAACTCTTCCATCTGGTCAGAAATAAAGTTTATTTCTCAAACAATGATCCACAACAGGTAAGATATTGACTTGTCATAACCTTGCGACACAGTCTTACTTAAAAAACAAAACTCCAAACTTCCCCTTTAGGCCTTTCAGCTGTAGTAGAGGTATATCCAGGGGTTCGTGCAGCTGTTGAGGCTGGCGAGCAGCATGATGATTGAAAATACTGGACCTGGAGGACAGAGAAATGGACTTGTGACCAGTTGGTTTTGACAAGTCTCCTGCAGGACAGGTTTTAAGTTTGGACCAACCTTGTGTTGGCGCGCTGCCAGGACTCCACGCGGACCACAACTGCACAACAAAGAAGGGGCTCCAGCACACGGTGTAAGCCATTATAATCACAAAAGTCATCTTCACGGTCTTCAGCATGGCGTTGGACACCCCCTTGACGCCCCCGCGCGCTGACTGCAGAGCCTTCCTCTTCATGTTGAAGTAGATCACAGTGCAGATTCTCATCTGGCAGTAGAGCAGAATGACGGCGGGCAGCGCGAACACCGCCAGGGTGATCCAGCTGATGTAGATCCTGCCCCCCCACGGCTCGATGAACGTGGCCCAGCAGTCCAGCTGCTTCCCCTCCACCTCCCGGAGGGAGAAGATGAAGAGCTGCGGAGAGCTGAAGAGCAGCGACACGAGCCACGCTGCGCCTATGGAGAGGTACCTCCTGAACGAGCCCCCCAGGAACGACACCATGGGCGTGCACACCGCGTGGTACCGGTCTATGGCCATGGCAACTATCATGTAGGCGGAGGCGAACATGCCGACCACCTGCAGGTACTTGACGGAGCGGCACAGGAAGTCCGTGCCTCGGAACCTGTGCGTAATTTCCATGGAGAGCTGCGGCAGGACTTGGAAGAAGGCGACCACCAGGTCCGCCAGGCACAGGTGGAGGAGGAACAGCTGGGTCCTCGAGTTCCTCTTCCTCCTCCTCCACAAGGTGCCCAGGAAGAAGAAGTTGCCGCACGTCGCGAGCACAAAAACCAAGCCCAAAACTGCAGGTCTGAGGCGCGCGAAGCGCACGGCTTCATCTTCATCATCATCCGCTGCTTTCCCCGGGATGCTGCTGGTTTCCATTGAGGCGCCAGTCTGAGCTGGTTTCCTTTTCTCCTTTAACTCTTTGAGTTAACGACTCTTCATCAAAATCCAGATGCTGCTGTTTCGTGTCGTGGACTGGACGCGGCGCCCTCCTGTGAGCGCGCGCCACGCTGGAAACGATGCAGAGACGACTGTGAGGGGAGGAAGGGTGGAGAGGGGAGAAGAAGCAAATAAAAAAGACTCTTTGAAGAACTTTAAATACAGTTTAGAGATTAAATATTTGAAAACAATTTTACATTTTTGAAACAAAAAAACGCACATCGCCCAGTCCCTTTAGCCAATGTTGTATTTTCCAATTAGCTGTCTTCATTTGGATTTACTCCAAAACTTCAATCAGTTGTAGATGTACACACACTGATTACTTTCTAAATGTTTCACTTAAATCCATCCAGTTGTTCACAAATTATTTTGCTAACAGACAAATTGGGTCATTCCAACAGCTAATGTGTAAGATTTAAGGAAAAATCTCACACATTGAGTTGCACTTGGTATATGTTTTGTGTATGACCCTCAGCTACAACCACTTTTACCACAATATTTGTAAAGTTCACACATTTTTGGCCATTTTTGCGATTTCTAAGATCCATTAGCTGTGGTGACCATCTTAAATTGGGTTTCCTTCAAATTATTTTAATTTGAAGATGTACACTGAAGTAACATTTCTTGAAAGTTTCATGAAAACCTGGTCACTGATTCATGAGATATTTTGCTAACAGACAGCATTAACGCTATAGATGTATTAATATTTTCATTAAAGAACTTAAACAGTCTGTTAGCTTTCAGAAGGTATGTTAGGGATCAGTTTCAGCTACTACCACACCAAATGTTAGCTTAATATCTTTAAAATTCACAGAGTTTTAGCCATTTGGTTGTTTTTTAAAGTCAGCTGACAGTGGCAACCATCTAGAAAAATTATGAGTCAAAAAGTTAATCAGCTATAGATGAGTGTCATTAAAAACCATCCAGTTATTTATGAGATATTTTGCTAACAGACACACGCACTGACCAAAATATTCTCTGATTTCGCCTCTCAGCAGCTAAAACAGTTTTAGTCATTATCATATTGTAAATTCTCGGTACAATCCTTCATATCTTGTAGATTATTCAGAGAACATAAAACCTAAAGTAGGACATGAAACAATTCAAATAAAATTGTACATAAATATTCTGGTCCATTAAATTTTTGTACATAAAATTCTGAATGTGATCAGTTCTTTAATAATTAAGCAGAATATTGTAAGAATTATTTCCCCCCTCTATTTTTGAGTGACGACGGTTCAGTTTGTGTCTTTAAAAATGAGAACAGAGTCAGAATGTGTTGGATGATTATTAGCTATTTTGTGCAAGTTGATCCGGTTATTTGCACTTGGAGATTTGATTAAAGTTCTCACGTTGAGACAGGGGTGGACGTGACAGAAATAAGAGTTATTGGAATCACTTTACCCAAATGTTAAACACCGAAGTGTTTCCCAAGAAGATTACAGCGGGTAAAATCTATTGTCGGAAATGTGGAATTGACTTTTTTAGGCGTTTGTTAATGATTTAGAAATATTTAACATAAGTCGATCACAGGAAACACCACCCATATAAACATCCGTTAAAGATGCATTTTAAGTTTGCACTCTACACCTTTTAAAATAATTATTTCATTTGCTCAACATAAACATTAATTTTACATTTTGTCAGATTTCCTCCTTAATTGACAGCTCTTCATATATAGCCTTTTCTTCATTTATTTGTCATTTGGTGGAGGATTTATCTTTTTCATTTCTGAAATAGTATTTTATATATTCTTTTTACCTTGCTTTCATCCTGAGAAGACTGCGAGTTTTAAGATTCTTCAAAAGGAAATTAGTAATACAGTAGAGAATAAACGTGTAATTTTGAAATCCACTAGGTGGCGTTAATGCAGTTTCAGTGTCTTAATTAAACCAACGAAGAAGAACTGTCTGTTTCCTGTTTATCTAGTCCGTAGCCTCTATTCAAACAGTACTACCTCATCGCTCAATGAACTGGTTTTATAAACCTCTTTTTACGTTTGGACAGGTAAGAATGCGGTATTATAATGCTTTTAAAGCGTATAAAATAAAAAGTTTTACATTTAAGTGTTACAGTCATGAATAATTATTTATTAGCCGCATTGTTTAGCTAGCTAGCGTATTCCTTTTTAGTGTTAAGAGTAACCTTTTTTTATAGTAAATGTGTAGTTTTTGACATACCCACGTAGTTCAGTAGGAAAACGTACAAAGTCGAAAGAAACATGTTATGCAACTTATCAGTAGGCGGACTCACAAAAGATGCGTTCACGGGTAGTTTAATGACCTCGTAGCTCATTTAGCAGCTGAATTAAAGATCTACCATTCTTCGGAACAAAGCCTTGCTTTGAATAACGTACGACAGCCACTTCTCGTTGAACCTGGTTTTCCCGGCTGCGTGTACAAGCCTGTTCGACTCCACTATGAAGCGGACCTCCACGGGCAGAGAGTGGGGTTTGGTTGTAGTCGCTTCCAGCAGAAAGTAGACGCTGGCCGTGTCCGGTATCGGCTCGCGCGCCGTCACGGTGCTGAAGCGGGCCCGGTAGTGGTAGAAGTGTGCGCCGTGCTCCTTTTCCTCGGTTGAGAAGAGAAAGTCGAGGCTGTAAAGCCAACAGGGGCGAAGCTCCCATGTCTGGATATACGCATTAATCTGCTGTTTACCTACTTCGACGGTGAAGTCTTGGCAAGAGGTCCACGGAAATGAGTCATTTTTATCGTCCGTGGGGCGGCACTGTCCCTCCAGCGATGCTTTCGCTAGCAAGGCAGATTCTGTTGTGCAATTCTGGTCTCTAGAATATTCTTCCATCTTGGCTTAGTAACCGCAATAAAAACGTGAAAAGCTGCTGCGTAATCCTCTGAATGGCGTTTCCCATCGTTTTGTTGCCTCCGTGGTTTCCATGGTTACCACTGTAAGAAAGTCTAACGGAGCCCCCTGCTGGCCTCTCTGAGTAATGCACAAGGTTACACATTTTATGTTGTGGCGGCCATCTTGGATTTAGGAACCCCAAAATGATTACTTTATGAAAGTTTAATTAAAATCCATCCATTGGTTTATAATATATTTTGCCCGCAGACAGGCATATTACTAATAGTTAACTACAAAGTTTTTAAAACTGATTTTACTCAACTGTCCGGTGCTTAGATTTTGTGTTTGGAATGACTCTCAGCTACTAACACTATTAACTATGTGTAAAATAGTTTAAGTTGTAAATATTTTTGTGTTTACTGTTTGCTTAGCCGTGGCTGCCATCTGGAATAGGGTTGAATCTAAAAAGTAATTAATTATACATGTGAAGACAATAATTAGTTTGTCTTTCAGTCCTCTGGTTCATGTGTCCAGGACATCCTTGTAAAATAGATCGATGATCTCAATGGATTTCTTTCTGGTAAAATAAAGGTATTAAAAAAAAGTAATATTTTGCTAACACAAAAAACACTGGCGTTATTTAATCATTCATACCAACATTGTTTAAATTTAAAAAAAAGTTAGTTGATGTAATTTAATAATTGATTTGTCTATTTTTCAGAAAAGTGGATCCCACAACAAAGCCTCAACTGTAAAAAATTTGCCTAGCAGCAGATCATAGCAGACAGTGTGGCAAGATGCTGCATTAAACGTTTTAGCCTCATCCCTTTGCTTCTGTGACCTTTTCCACTGATGTTCCTGGCGAGTAATAGGACGCATGTCGCGGCTCAGGTCCACAATTGACAGTGTAACCAAGGCAGTGGGCAACATAGACCTCATCTCCAAGTTTTCGCGGCTCAAGCCAGCCAACGCCATTGTTGACGATGCCCATGCTGGGAAAGTACCAGTACTGATCAAAGCGGTGGCTTTAAATTCCGGCGACACAGCCTCTAAGTCGCCATCTGCAATGGAAGAAAAAGCAAATGGGAAGAAGGGAGCATCTGAAGAGGCAGAAAAGCCTTTTCTTGACACAAAAAACCCCTCCGGTTTAGCTTCAGCAGCAAGTGCATCTTCTCCAAGCTCTTCCTCTGCTGTAGCAAAACAAACTATGCAGCTGTTCCAACCAGCTGCACTGTCCACCAACATGGACGAGACGTACAAGTCCCTGTCCCTCCACATTAACAGTTACTTTGGCACAAACGGGCAGGGAGAAGATGGAGAAAATGGACAGCAGCAACAGAAAGACAACGGCCACCTTGTTTCTGAACCTGCCGCCACTCTGAGATCAGTGGATCACGTTCCTGTTTTGTCTCCAGTGTCAGAGATGAAGAGTATTAAAGCACCAACTACCTCTCTCGTCCCTTCCTCTCCATTAGAAAAGTCCAGTTCCAAAGCAGAGAGTCCCCCTTCTAGTGAAAAGACCACTCAGTCCATTCCTGATCCAACAGCTTCCCCCAAAAAAGGCTTCACCCACTACCTATCCTACCCTCGGCCCAGCATCCAGGCGTTTGTCGGCAGCTACTTTGCGCCTCTGGTCCCCAAATTTCGAGGTGATTCCAAAAGAGTCACAGCTGGAAAAGACAAGTCTTCAGTCATCGCTGTGGATGACCCCGCTGAGGATGGAGCAATGGAGAGGACAGAGAGTGAAGAGGAAAAAGCTGAGAAGGCAAAGCAGCATCTGCTGAGTCAAAGGGAAAAGGTGGGAAATTAAATGAGTCTATGAATCTGTAATCCATAAACACGTCTTACGTTGTCAGTTTGTGTTGCAGATAATGGCAAGAGTGAGTGTAGACAACAGGACCAGAGCCCTGGTGAAAGTCCTGCGGACAGTCACTGATGTCAAACTCCTCACTGCTCGAGTGGAGGAGTTCAGTTTTCACCTCCTGGAGTTCCCCGAGACCCGAGGGGTGGCCATCAAGGTTAGCGTGCCTTCATTTTAAAACCGCTTGCGTCATTGTTGTAGGATCCTTGAATTCTTTACCAAGTTGGGGTTTATGTAATCAAACCTTTAGGAGAGTGTTTTGCCCTGTCTGTTGCGACTGCGCAAGGCCAGAGACCGTCCTCTTCAGGCCGCTGTTAGAGAAGCTCTGGCTGTCGTCGGCTACACGGATCCAGTCAGAGGCAAAGGAATCAGGGTGCTGGCCATAGATGGAGGAGGCACGAGGTGCAGCTTTTCAAGATTAATTGAGTCTCTGTGATGTTTACCAAGAATAATATGTCAAACCTGAGGTCTGCTTATGAGCACCGAAGTAACTACTGTTCATTCATGTGTTCATTTAGTGTAAACATCAGCTTTTTGTTTGTCTTGTAAAAAGTAAAGTTTGTGGTTTTGTCTCAGGGGACTGGTGGCCCTGCAGACTCTTCATAAACTACAAGACCTGACTGGAAAACCAATCCACCAACTTTTTGACTACATCTGTGGAGTCAGCACAGGTAGGTACAACCTTTAAATGACATATTAATATATATAGATTTGGTGTAGA